TTCACATTCACTGTCGTCGCAGGAGGACGAGCCGCTGCTGTCGGCCACATCATGGCATCCGCTGTAATGACCTGATGAACACGACACCATCAGCAGTCTGAGACAACCTGAAATCACTGAGCAGCTAGAAGATCAAACACCAGTGTTACGATTATCAATGGTGTTCACTATAAACACACAAAGCTTTAAGCAGCGGCCACAAACTGAACGCTGATCTGCAGCTGGGACGGATTACACTGGTTACAGTTAAGTGTTTTGTCATCTATTACTGTGCATTAATGTCACTGAAGAACCAGCTGAACTGCGGTGAGGATCCTGCACTGGGTGTCAGTGAACCGTATCATGCACAGACTAATAGCACTGGGCTGAAAATCTCGCTTTCTTGATCTTGTTTAAATGATTCCAATATTCTTAAATCCCAAGACTGATCTGTTAGTCTGTGAGGTTTTCAGTTGATGAGCAAACAAAACTGCCTCTCATCCAATAACTGCAGTGAGGCTGGTTACTTTTGATATGATACAACAAAAAAAGTATCAGAACATATAACTGAATAATGAATCATGTCTCATGCACTCACTCTATCAGCATTTTAACCATGGAAAGAGCTTTTATCTGAGTGTTGATTATTAAAGGGGTGGTTGATTGCGATTTCACTTTTTTAACGTTAGTTAGTGTGTAACTAGTGTGGGTTCCTGATGAACAACTCGAGATGATCCACTGTAAACAGCGTCTCCTCACCTTCCAGCTCCACCTCCTCGCCCACCACCGGCAGTCCCTCGCGCACCACCTGCGGCCGCCTCCTGCAGGAGGAAGAGGAGGAGGAGGAGGCGTCTCTGGAGTCCGTCCTGCGCTCCTGCGAGGGAGGCGGTGTCTCAGCGGTGGGAGAGGTGATGGCCTGCAGGAGCCCCATTGCTGTCACAGCCGTCTGAGACGAGGCCGCCGGGTCCGGGAGCGTCAGGAGCGAGCGCTGCTTCTTCTTCTGATGAGATCCGGAGCTGCTGTGATGATCTACACAAGAGAAACATACACACACACAGTTCTCCTCTCACGTCTCTTCACTATAGACAGAGGTGATGATAGACGCTTCTGATACTTCAGTTCACTTAGAAATAAAGTAAACGCCAAATATTCAGAACTACATGAGCCATAATCCTGAAGAGAGATCGGCCGATCAGTAAAGTGTTGTGTGTTCTGACGCTCTCAAACGATCAGCGAGCTCTACTCAATATATTCTGGTGTGACTGTCATTCTCTCCCCTGTCTGTTTGACTTCCAAACACATTTTGGAATCAAATTAAATAATCTAGTGATCACCCTGCACTGGTTCGATCTATGAATGGAAAACAAGAACTTCTAGAATTGAAAGGCACTTACTCTACAGAAATCACTAGAGTCACACACCTCTGTAGAAATGATCCTCATAGTGCTTCTTCTTCTGAAGCTCACCGCCGGAGTAAAAGACATCAGTGTCCTGCGAAGAGCAGAGCTCAGTTTCTACACAACACACACACACACACACACACGCTGATCTCTGAGATGATGAAGATGATGATGATGTACCTTGAGCCATTTCTTGGAGGTCTTGCGCACCTCTGCGTCGATGATCTCTTCTTCTCTCAGCAGATCTTTGTAGGATCTTCTCTTTTCTCTCTGACTGCGGCCGGCAACCAGACTCACCTCACCCTCCATCTACACACACACACACACACACACAGACACACA